GCCGGGAACCCAGATGTCTCCACTAACCACCGCTCAATCAAACGATGCCACGTGGACGTACTCAGTCTAAGTTACTACCGTTTCGTTGGCTACTAACCATCATCAGACTTCCAACTCCTATTCATACTCTACTGTTCTGTCTTATCTTCCTACGCAGTTTTTTCTCCTCCACGCAGGAATTGACCTTTTAGAGCAGTAGTTAGCGATTTTTTGCAATTAATGGCGAACTAGATGAAGAGGATGCAGGAGGACTTATAATCAATGTGGACGATATGGTTGTTAGTCATCCCCCCCTCAAAAGTCAGACACATTTCCAGGTACTGACATGGACCACATCTCAAAATACTGAATAACCAGAATTCATTCCAGTGCGTTTTCCGATTGCGACCCTTTCCCAGTCCTGAATCCTAAAACATTTTGTCCAATGAAGTATCCTCTTGGTGTTAATCTGACATCTAATCTTTTATGTACTTTTCATATTGAAACTCTCTTCATTAAAATTCCAAAAGTTCTGTATAATATCCGTCGGTTACGTAAATATCATAATTCTCAAATCCTAATCTTACGATTTATAGATGCCTTTTATTCTTCGCCTCATTCTCTGGTGTGCTCCGGTTATTTTTTGGCCTTCCTTAAAAAGAAGCTGTTGATTTTTAATCGTGCCATCCGAATGCTCTTTTCAGCTGCCGGGATTTCTTCTGCTTTTTCAGGTGAAAATATAATACAGCAACACTTTAAAACAGTCAAGCAATTTGTTGATCTTGTACTAGTACTTGTTACGACTGTGATCATGCCTGATCTAGCCGGCCTCAATTATGTTACGAACGGTACTTCTCCATGCGTAACGATCGGCGGCAGCCGATCTGGAAAGCTCCACCCAGTCTCTTCTCCAGCGACGGAGACCGAAGATAGAAGGTTGAAGAACTGCTTCCATGTCTTGACGGACGGTATCCAGCCAAGTCTTCAGTTGCCCTCCTCTTCGACGTTTCCAGGTGGGCTGCG